TCTAGCACTGTGAACTCACAAAGACATCTTATTATGCTGGTCAAACATCAGTACAAAGGGACTAAATATTAAAAAAAAAAAAATCGGATGGAAAAGTACTGTGTTCATCTGGGCTATAGCCATGTGTGTCTTCCCTCCTTTTATGAAGTTAGGAAAAAGTCAAAAGTGCAGTAAATGTGTGAGTTAAAAGCCATTCTTCTAACCTGAAGTGTTGAAGCTTGTTCATCACCCTTTTCGGACGTGGAACGAAGTCTAGACACAGAAATGGACGATTTGGATGACTCTACTATTTTCAGCTAGTATTGAATGCACAGTGGTACCACCAGGCTTGGTACTGTTAATCAGAGGCAGAGATACAAGATACTCTGGGACAGTACCAATGTTAGACACTGTTCCCAACAGGCTTTCTGAGAAGAACAATATATTCTCATGTCTTGGGATGTCCCCTGAGCAGCCTTTCTGTAAAACAAACAAAACCTGCACTGCGATCCATTAGCATTATACCAGCAAGGTTCTGTCTCAAGTATGTTCGGCTTCTTCTTTTGGTAGTAGTGTTCACTGTTCATGGTTATTTGCATAGAATTGGTGGTGGTGTTTTGTTTTGTTTTTTTCCACGTGATAATGTGGATTACTTACTTGTTTCTCTCTTTTACATCAGAATATGCTGCATCTTCAGCTAAACCACTTTGCTTGTAAAAATGGGACAGTGTGAGGAGGTAGAAGGACAGGGCAGGATGACTGAACATGTCATAGCATTTGCAGTCCCCACTGTTACCTTTTATGCTAATCACTTTTATAATCACCTCCGTTGTAGACTTCTAGCTGTGTGAAAATTACTTTGTCTACTTTTTCATCTCCTGTGTTATGTAGAAGAACTTACGTATCTATTTTCTATCTGTTTTACCAGAATTATGCAAATGCTGAGAAACAGAAACATAAAAGAACGGTGGTCCAAACTGAAGTCTGAAACTAAGCCTGACATATATTCTACCCCAGCCTTCTTACTAGAACTATATGCTTAATTCTCCTAACAAGTTCTCCTTCAAGATGGTAGAATGTTCTTCTGCCACCTTGCTTTTAAGAAAACAGTGCTTTTTTAAAAAATTTAAAAAAGTGCATTGCAGCTCACAACCTGCTAACGTATGATCTTCTAATCCTGTTTGTTGTACAGAGTTTTCCACCTCGCTCCTTAAAATCCTAGTAAGCTTGAAAAGGGACAGACAGCTTTACTTCTGTTGCTATGGGCACACTGCCACTGTTTCATTTCTCAGTTGTAAGCATAATGTACATCACTGGAGTTAAGAAACTGGCTCCAAAAGCTTCTGAAGATGCTTCTTGGTTTCCTGAACCAATATTCAGTTCACAGATTAACTACTTAAAATATTGCTGTCTTGTAGCTTTTCCTCTCGTTGGGGTCTCAAGAAGAAAGTATTAGAGACTAAATTGATAAGGTTCTTTGCTACCTGCTATGTTTTTTTTCCCCTAATGTTAGTGATATATCGTTTTAGGAAATAAACCTTTCTGCAGTTGTGAGACTTTAAATACAACTTATTCTTCTCAAGATTATCAAGCTGCATTACTAAATTTTGTACAAATATCTCTTTGATGGAAAGAAACATGCGTGTGGGTGGAAGACATCTCTTCCTTTCCTCCCTCATTGAGAATCTTCTAGAAAGGTGGGCTTTGTTTTGCTTGAGAGTGATTCCAACCAGAAGAATGTGTGTTTGTCAGACGTGGTGAATTCTGCACAACAGGTTCAACTTACATCATGTTTGATTAATGAGCTGCTTATGTGCATTTTAAGATTTGTATCTATTTTATATTGACTAACCCTTGAGTATCATGTCCAACATGGGCAAATGCCATGTGGCAAATTGCGCAACGTCAAAGGACTTCAAAGGTTCTTGCAAAACAGGTACACAGGTACTTCTGTGAGCCAGGTTGCTGAAACTAGAGTGTCTGCAAGGTTCCTCAGAACGAAGAGAGGATTCTTCAGATCATTTACTTGGATTGTTATCACTATGCTGTATGTGTATGGCTTTTTTAGATTGTAGTAAGATGTACCGTGTCTTCAACAAGAAATGTTGGATGTTTTGGATCTTAAACCTTGCAGTTCTATTTGCAGGGTTTTTTTGGTTTTGTTTTTACAGGGTTGGGATAGCGAAGTTGTTTATTTGCTTTCTTCCCTAAAGCTCGTCTCCCACTTTCAGACATACATGTAAATGGGCCTTGCTTTCCAAAGAAGTAGTTTTGTCAAAGACATAGCATGGTATCCCCTCATAGATTGTGCTGCATAAATGCGGTTGCATATTTAAGCAGCGCTGTAAATGTTTCTACCCTGAAACAGGCTGTAGCTTTTCAATTTAAAACGTAAATGAAACTGGAATGCCTGAAGTCAGAATTGCCTATTTGTGATGGTGGACCTTTTAAACATCACATTTATTGGGTTTTACTTAGAAAGGGAGAAGTACTTTCTCAGTGCTTTCACGTCATCAAGTTGTTGCCTTGATTTCAGATATTATCCCTGCAGTACTGTGCAGTTGTAGCCTCTACATGTTGTACTTTGGAGAAAAGAGTGTTCTGTTGCCTCTGGACTTTTGTTCAGTATTTTTTCTTTGAAAAAGCAGAAGATAATTGCGACATAGTAGCGGTGTGCAAGTTTCAAAAAAAAATACTAGAAGTAGAATAAATGAAAATGGATGGGAATGTACTGTTCTTGTAGACAGAAATACTTCAAAGGTGGTAGCATGGAAAGTCTGTCACAGGCTGCCTATCACCAAATGCAAATAAGTGTGGGAAGCAGTGTCTGCATTGGGCAAGTACCTTTTGATTCTGTTGCTACAAATTATTAGGTTGTATTAACTTCTATTTATTCTTTAAAATGATGATGCTGATGTTTATAGGTCTCTGTCTCTATATAGAGACATTGTGTGTGTATATATAGCATTATTTAGTTAAGTTAGAGGGACTGACGATAGAGTGTTTTTCTCTGTTTTTTGCAGTAATCTTGATAGGATCATGGAGTAATTAAGGTCAGAAGGGACATCAGGAGTTCTTTAGTCCAGCATTTTCTTTAAGCTACATCAGCTATGACATCAGGCTAGGTTACTGTTTGGCCTCTAAAACTGCTGAAGAAAGAGACCAGGAAACTTATTTGAGCAACTAGTTCCACCAGTTGCCCCTATTATAAGAATCCACCCAAGATCAGAATCCACCAATGCACCCTATTTATTATAAGAAAAATATTTCCGTACGTTCAGTCAGAACTTCTACTTTTGAAAAGGTTGATGGGCTAAAATAAATTGGAGACCAGTGCAAATCTCTTCTTCATTTCATTACCAGATTTTTCTCCTATTAAATGTGCGTCTCGAGAAGGTGTAGTTACATTCCGTTTTCCGTATTTCCAAGTAACAGATGGCTTCTTCACATTTATATGCCTGTTTTTTCAGTAGACTTTTAACTGTGCTTGTGTAAGACAAAATAGTAACCTAGCAGAACCTTTTGTGAAGAAGAAAAAAAAACAACAGATAAGCAAAGCCATAGCCAGCTTATAACTTCTTAATTCATAGCAACGAGAAAATCCAACTTTCTTCCAAGCCTTTTAAGTTCTGTGGTCTTAGTCCTTCAAAGGGTAAGTGTCAGGACTCTCAAAAAATACTTTTCTAAATGGAAACATTTGAGAAATATTTTTTTCTTTCAGAATATTCAAACCAACTCACTGTGGTTTCATTTTACAACCATAAAAAAGCATCTGAGTAGAAGCATAAGATCAGTAGACTGTTGTCAACACAGTTTTGGGATATAAAAAAAATAATGGGAAAGATAGTGTCTGTAAGTCCTTACTACTTAGCCAATTGCAAGAAATAACTTTATGTATATATATATGTATATATATTTACATCATATACCTATGGATGTATAGGGAGAGAAAGTGTCAACACTTCAGGGAACAGAGAACAAAAATGAGGCAAATAACAAAAATATTTTGATATACATTTGTTTTTACCATTTAAAAACTTATTTTAAAAAATACCATTTAAAAAAAACAAAAAACAAACAACTTAGTGTGGTGTTTCTCTGTAATTTTCTGAAGATTTCACCTGAGTGACATTCACAGGTCACATTTTGAATGTGAATTGTGCTCGTGCACCCTGCACTCACACTGCAGCTGTGCACACTCACAGGAGTTGTGTGACCTGTGATTCTTGGCTTATATTGTTTTCACCAGAGATAATTTTGCAAATACATACGTAGTTGTTATTTTTAACTGAATAGTTGAATAGTTAACGAGAAGAGTATTATGATTTACAGTTTGCCTTCCACAAAACTGCAGTAAATTTTTTTGGAACTTTCAGTTTAAATTAAACCATGTATAGAATTAATCACTTAACTGTGTTTCTCTAAAAAAAAAAAAAAAAAAGTTTTTGAAGTAAAAAGTGAAGGTGCTACTTCCCCCCCTCCCCAAATACATGTAGATGAAAGGAATGGGCAAGTTGATAATATTCTCTGCTTTTAATAAGGTGGAAACACTGATCTACACCTGTCCTTATTCCCTGATTAATGTGCTCCATGTGCTAAATGAGAGGCCCACCGCTGGGTCTCTGGTAGCATCAAGAGAGATGGTCTTTAAAGAGGAAAAAAAAAAAAGTTTCATGTAGTTAAGAACCAAATCAGAAATGGTTTAGTCACCCAGGTTCCTGTGTTTCATATCTGGGAAGGGTTAAGGATATTTTTGTTTCAATGCACCATTTGACTTGACTTCGTTTCGTTTAGAAAATAAATGCCAACTCTTAAAATGCTTTAAAACATGGTAACTGATCTAAGTTGTTGAATCTCTGTTCTGTTAAACTGAACCTTGTGGTAAAGTGTGACTGTGGTGTCATGGGCTTTCTTCCTCTGAATTGCTCTACACATATTCAGTCTTCACTGAATTGAGGTGCCCCCCTTGATAATGCAGTGAGCTTTTAACATCTTGATGTTCTTGTCCCCATTCCTTTCAGGAGACAAATGACTCCGTTGAGGTATGCAGCTAGAAAAGGCTCTTCTCGTGGTGTTGGTCTTCTTGTTGCTCATGGATCACACATAAATGCCCAAGATGAAGATGGATGTTCAGTAAGTGATTTACTTCCATGTATTTTAACCAAAGTTTAAAAAACAATGTACAAACAGGAGCCCATAAGCTTGCTTCTAGTGTACCTTCCTCAAAAATGCGCAGTTACACTCCTTTACCACCACCTTGAGATTGTTTTGCACCATCTTTGTCTCCGGATTCTGCCATGTAAGAAGTTACGCAGGTTGTATTATTGATTGAACCTCTATTCTTTTTGTTTTTTTTGCTTCATATGTAAACTTGATAAAAACAAAACTGTTCTTATGCAGGCATTAATATGGGCAGCACACCATGGACACAAAAATGTCATTTTTAAGTTGCTGGAGCTTGGAGCTGACAAAAATCTACAGACTAAGGATGAGAAGACAGCAGCAGAGCTAGCAAAAATCAATAAGCATTCAGAGGTACTCCATTTCTTTTTGAGATGCAGATTCTGAGGGTTTGGGTTTATTTTGTTTGTTTACTTGTTTGAGATTGCCTCAGAAATTTTCTGTAGAAGTGTTACTTTAATAACTAAACTGTAGCAGCTAGTTGCATACATCTCCTGTTCCATCTGTGCTGACTACTTTCTGTTACATCCCAACTTAGGACAGTGCTTTGAGTGCTTTTATGGGTTTGTTTTTGTGTGTGGGTTTTTTTTTTTTTTTAAGTTTGGGGATAATTCCCTTTTTTCTGTAGAAGCCTTGACTTTGAAATACAGATTTGACAAGGGATTATTAATGTCGGTACTGTTGATATGAGAAGTAGTAAAAGAACACGTTTCCTTCTGTATGCCCAAGTGTGTGAGAGAATGTAGATATTAAACTATTTTGCAGTGTGTAGTTTGTGGTTGAATTTGGAAGGTAAAAGGCTAAAGCTAAAAGGGGGAAACGGGGAGTCAGCGGTATGTACTGGCTGCCTTCCAAACCTGTTCCCGGAAGGGAAGACAGTCTAAAACAATATAAATTGGTCATCAGATCATTGGAAGAGCAGCAACTCATTATCAGCGTAAAGAGAGCTGCTGAAAACAGCATATATTTTCCTAAAATAAATCTGCTTACCGCTGTTGCTGGATGATGCAGGACTACATTACATACATTATTTTGCTTTGCATCAGTTCAGTGTTGAGCTTTGATTTTGATTAATTCAGAAATGCTCTTGATAAGCTCTGTGGGCTTAGTCTTAACTCCTCCCTGTAGCTCTTTTAGAGAGAAGAGATGGCAGATGTTTGATGTTCTCCGTGTGTAGTAACTTCTGATAGATCTCTTTGTAGTCTTACTTCTGTGTATTTCTTTACACGTTTTAAGTTAAATACTAATGAATTCATTTTGGCTCTTTCAGATTTATAGTTTACTCTCTTTGGCTGTAAATCCCTCGCAAGGGAAATACCATGAAACGATGAAGCAAGAGGCTAGCTACAAATTTCTGACAGCTGTCCCTGACCACAGAGTTGGGTAAATAAAGTCATAGCATAACTTCAGTTTATAAACGTTCCTGAGAGATTGTATTTGTTCATATCAATGTGATTAAGTTTTCCTGATATGTGTTGCGTATATTTTGGAGCACTACCAAGAGGCCACAGTAAGTATATTAACATACTCTAAATTTTTCAAGACCGCATAGTTCCTTTGCATTATGAACAGTGAGCATGCTCTAGATCTTTCCTGCCTCTGACTTGATGTAAAGTAGAGGCAGAGTCCAGTGCCACTTCACTTTTTTTCAGTTTGATAGTACTGAACGTTTGATAGACTTCATTTGTTAGTAAATTTCAAATGCTTTCACTGAATGCTTGTTTTCAGTGCTAGTCCACCAGGACGAGCCGTGCCCCATTCTTTCTTCCACGTGTATTCAGACACTTGGGTGGCCTTGAGAAAGTCCAAGTGAAGTACACGTGACTCTGAAGCATGCAGGTGTTCTTTGGGTGAACTCAGCACCTGCTTCAGCAGCCTTGAAGATGTCTGACACTGTTTTGTTCCAGAACGTAAAGCTAAGAAGTCCTCAAGAAACCATCCACTTTTCCTCCTTGAGTGACATAGTTTTCAGAAGACAACTTCCAGAGCCCATAGTCTCTGTGCAGTCTGTTCTGGTTGGTCAGGTTGGTTTTCAGCGTCCCTGCTCAGCCATGTCATGCTGAATTTGAAATGCCACAGTTCCGTACCATGGGGCTGGCTGTAGGTCACAAGCTAGCAGTTTGGAGGTAGTGTCAGGGCACCTCGTTTCAGACAGAGCCTCATCAGGTTTGGTCATTAGAGAAACGTTTACCTCAATAAGGTTTTCATCTTCTGGGGCTTCAACTGTGGTCATCTCAGAGGCACTTCGTAGAGCTGCAGGGTGAAGGTTTGGCATTGTAGAGTCAGTTATCTGCACTGTCCTCTTTGTTCTTGCATGTTACCAATAAAATAAGGAAGTGACTTAGCACCATGCAGCCGTTATCCGAATTCTGTGCTGTTGAAACTTGATGGCAGCCAGAGGGCATTGAACCAGTGTCTTGGTAATCTTGATAACCTTTTAAAATACGACACTGAAATCCTGTAGCCCACTTAAGAAATAGTTTGTGGCAGCCAGATGTCCGACCATGCAGATCTAGCTCTGTATTACGCAGTTTTGCACTTGTAGGATTTCACTGCATCAGTAGGCTTTTTATAAACTCTACCAGTTTTGTCTGTATCGTTTCTGGTGATTAGTGTGACTCCTGGTTCCAGAAAGCAGTCCCTCTGAGTCTAATGGCTGTCTGGCTGTTAAGCTGTGTATGTGGGAATGGTTGTTTATTAATTTACACACACACACTCACAAAGAGTGAGTTTTTTTTTTCATCTGATGACGGTCAAGAAGTACGCTGTACCTTTGTTTACTCCATCGTATTTCCTCAAGCTGAGTACCTCCTTCCTGCCGTTTGTCTGCATAATTTTCATCACAGGCGTTGCCAGTTAGCTTCTAAATTTCCGTTTCCTCTCCGATCTGCTCCTTATGCATCATCTTGTGCTGGGTATCAGTTGTGCCCCACAGTGCGTGGTCAGTGAGCATAACCTGGCATCGATGCTGCTGTCATTCGTTTCCGATCATTAGGTAGGGAGGGTAGCTTCAGTCGTTGCCTTCTGCTGTCCTGAACGAGAATTGTCCTGGCTCCAGGTGCCTGTACTGTTCAAGGAGGCAAACACCTGTCAAGAATTTGCTCTCTCAAACTTCAGATTACTCTTCTCTAAAGAGTCGTCATCTTGTTGAGAGGCTTTCAAGTGAACATACAGATGCTGAATAAATGTCCTTTCCTTGTCCTACAAGCCTTGAGTTACCAAAGGACTCCCCAGACCTGTGCCAACTAGATGCTTTGAGTGCCTAAATAAAAAGCAAAGTTGATCACTGCAGGTTGTTCACCTCCTCGCCCCAGTTTGGAGGCAACAGTGGGGGGAGGGATAATAACACAATTCTGCCCAACTTCGTGGTAGGGGCAGTATCTTTAAACTCTGCTAAAACTATTTTAAACGCTTCCTGTGTTTTGTCTGCTGAAATTGACCCTGTATGCCCACAGAATTACCGAGAATTCTCAGTGTGCAAACTTGAAATGTTTTCTTACGTATTCAGAAAAAAAAAAAAAAAGTTTTTGTTTTTTTTTAACAAATCTTAACGGTAGGAACTTAATGACTTTGCCTCCTTTTCACATCGAAGGCTAACCTTAATTTCAAGGCCAACAAGAAGACAGAGCAAACTGTCTCTAAATTCAAGATGTTGGTGAAGGATTGCTATCGCACTTGCAGCAGTCCTTTTTGATTTTTGTATCATTTGCTTTTTAGTTTAATTCTGTTCATTACAACTGTTCATCTAATTGTTGAAAGCTGTTTAAACTTTTAAAATGTTTATATCTTTTACTAATGTGGGGAATTCATGATTTATCTTTGTTTATAAATGTTAAACTGTGAACTTACTCTGAGTGACTCTGCTTCATCAGTCTAACTTCTGAACAGTAGCCTTCCGACATCAAATTTGTTACCAGACTGATTTCTGCTATCTTTAATACAGGCATTCCTGTTTTCTTGATAATGTTTTTGGTTTAAATGGAGCTGGTTTAAAGGGGTAACAGCTGTGGGCTGAATCCAGTTTGTATGAAGATTAGCTGATAGGAACACACAGTTTATCTTAAACCGCACTTAGAAATTTTTCAGGCTTTTGTGAGCAACTTTAAAATTCATTCGGAACGTTTTGCTACTAAACAGTGACATTCATTTATGAAAGTAGTTTTCTTCAGGCTCAACTCTACTTTCTACCTAATAGACCAGAAGCAAAATTATGAAGTTTTGCTAGGTTAAGCTGTACTCCCTGATGCTTTTGAGAGACTACTGTTATCAGTAGGTACGCGCAGGTTTAGGTCTGACAGTGCTTTGTCTGGGATTTTTTCTGCAATGTATTGTTGAGGATATCTTTTGGCTTTAATTTTCCACTGTTTTCACCTTGAATCTGATTACATTTACAGTTTCTATTCAGCTTTGGATGACATGGAAGTATTTTTACATGGTCCTGGTCTAGAACACCTAATAGGATTATTGAAGGTAAGGTTGTGATTTATCTGCTGTCTGGAAAGGAATTCTTGAAAACAGGTGCACCTTAAGCATCAGCAGAAGTTGTGTTGTTTCTAGAATATTAATTCAAATAAGTGTCTTAATTTCAAGTTACATTTGGAGTATAAAGGTCCGCTGCAGTGGATTAGTTTTGGTTATTAGTCAGTCATAACACATGATGTTTCTAAACTGGAGGACTCCTGTGTTTCGTTGGTAATGGTGTTGTGCAGTTGTTCTTGTATCTGTCTCCTGGTTTCAGTTAGCACAGAATTAATTTTCTTCCTAGTAGCTGGTGGAATGCTGTGTTTTGGCTTAGGATGAGAAGAGTGCTGATAACACCCCGATGCTTTAATTGTTGCAGAGCAGTGCTTATACTAAGCCAAGGACATCTCAGCCTTTTGCTCTGTCCTGCCAACGGGCAGGCTGGGGGTGCAGTAAGAGCTGGGAGGGGACAGACCCAGGACAGGTGACCCAAACTAGCCAAAGGGGTATTCCATACCATCTGACGTCATGCTAAACAATATATAGGGGTGGCTAGCTGGGGGGAGGGGGCCGGACTGCTCGGGGTTAGGCTGGGCATCGGTCAGCGGGTGGTGAGCAATTGCATTGTGCATCACTTGTTTGTACATACTATTACTTTCGTATTATCACCATTGTATCATTATTATTATTATTGTTATTATTATTTTTGTTATTATTATTTTCCTGTCTTATTAAACTGTCTTTATCTCAACTCACAGGCTTCACTCTCCATTTCTCTCCCCCGTCCCAGAGAGGGAGGGGAGGGTGAGCGAACGGCTGCGTGGTGTTTAGCTGCCGGCCGGGTTAAACCACAACATCATCAAAAAGACTTATTTGTACAGTATGCATTTAGAACATACATTGTTCTCAAAAACAGAAAATAATTGTTCGATTAAAGACAAAAAATATGGCAGCACTTGAGTTAAGGCAAGCGCTGCGTGGTTTTATAGAAAATGTCTTGACACGTATTCTAGGCATCTGACCTTGAGACTAAAATCATAGGCTATGTTTACCTGCTGTTACATAAAGATTTTACTTGCCATTTGTTCAAAGTCATTCTGTGAGAAGGAAGATCAGTCATTAAGTCATAGCAAAACTAACATAGTAGAAAATGTGGAACTGATTGATTATAAACTCACAGAGTGTCTAGCACTGTTTAGCCACTGGTGTTTTGACAGCCATGAATTCTTTTTAAAAGCGATTATATTTTGAAAACGTTACTTCCATTTAGAAGTATTTGGAAATGGAAATAACATGTCACTGCGACAGATAGGAATTCCATGAAAATGTTTTTTTAAGATCCATATTGGTATAATAAAGAAGTTTTGCAAATATTTTTCCCTCTTTTCCATGTCCATGAAATACTTAATGTAGGAATTCTGGAGGGATTCTCAAGAAAGATAACTTATTTTGTGACAGAAGGTGCTGCAACTGATCCTAGCTAGCTAAAAAGATACCTTTCTAGGCGGAAAGAAGCAAATACGAAATGAAAACTAATGGAAATAATTCCAGAACAGGTATAAAGCAGTATAATCCTGGTTGGGGATAACACCGAGTGAGAGCTGTGTTCTGCTTTTATTGTCACACTTTTCCTTCTCCCTTCCTGACAGATCATCTTGGTGGAACAAGTCCTAGGTGCAGAATGGTTCCCAAAGAGTTGAGTCTGCAGACTCGCCTGTCCTCCCGTGTAGACGCAGCAGTAGATCAGGCCCCAGGCTGCCAGCTTTTTTAGGAAGCAGTGTTCTGCCAGTAGGCAGCTTAATATTGCTTGTTTGGGAGGGGTGTTGTAGGGAAAACTTGAGAGCTGAATGCAAACGATCTGTGGGCTAAATGCAGCCTCTTCTTAGACACTCTCCCAGATGCAATGAAGTCTTGCGACAGGGAAATGCCAGCTTAATATTGTCTTTTGTTTTGGGCCTGATGTTACTCACCTAAATAGCTTACAGGTAGCTGAAACTGTTCTAGTGGTGACAAAGGCACTTCTCAGAAGTTTGAGAAGTTTGGATGATCTTACCTATTCCTCCCCCCCCCCCCATCCTCTTCTTTTGCCCAGTCAATGGCAGCAACTTTCTGGCTTGCACCATGCCTTGGAACTGACACTTTGGGTTCCTTCTGACGCGTAAAGTAAAATGAATCGAGTCACTCTCACATGGGAGATCTAAAATCTTGGCATTGAAATTAGCCTCTTAAATTTCTATATCCTTTCCTTCACTCTTCGGAGACTGATCAAACTGATTTTCAGTGATCTTCCTGTCTTTTGAGCACTAAGTATACTTTTTTCTTCAAAGCAGATAACGTAAGGTATTTTAGTCTTGAAGGAAAGTATTGTCAGATCCAGGTCCCAAGTCAGTAACAGATTCTTCATTTTTTCACTGTGCTGGAGACTAAATGACTCCATGAGAATACTACTATTCCCCCCCACACACCCCCCCAGTCCTTTTCAAAAATGTCATCTCTGGGTAATGAATATTGATAATTCAGCATGAAGTTGACTAAACTCTCTGCTCCTGGTGTTGGAAGACTGATCTGTATGCCCACGTGAACAGGAAGGCAGTGTTCTGGGGTTATTAGGCATACTCCGGTACAGAATTTCTTAAGTTGATTAAAAACAGGATTGGTGAGAGTGAGGAAATAGAAGTGGAGGTCAACAGAATTGTTTCACAAAAACTTTCGGATGACGTTTTTCAGTTTTGTGTGCAGCTGAATATTCCAGGTAACTTCAGGATTTGCTACCCTTTCGGGTCGGGGGAACAGACAATCAAAGTGTGTAACTTGCCAAGATGTTAAATGTAGTATTACGTGTTAAACAGGATAGATTTATTTTTTTTAATATAATGAAACTGCATGTCTGATTCATTTACTAGCCAATGCTGGAAATGCACAGATGATTTTAGCTTGCAAAAAGAAATACCCTTCTACAAGTAATAGAATATGGTTTTGTTTTGGTAGTGGAAACGAATGCCTCAAGTTCCTTCAGAAGCTGAATAAAGAGTGTAGCAAGCTGAATGTTCCTCTGCAGACCGTAAATAATCATTTCCTCAAAAATTCTCACAAGGTATTCAACTAAAGGGAAAAAATAATTGATTTAGAGTTTGGGGAATAACATTATTCTATGCCGTAAAATGAAAAATTTGAATACTAATCAAATGTCTTGATCATTGTTAGTTTTCTAAAGCTGTCCAATGTTTTTTCTCTAAAGTAAAATTATTTTTAAAATCTTATTTCAAAGAGTTAAGCTGCCCTATTAAAGAACGTAAAGCTGTTACTCAGTGTTTCCCCTGATAGGGAAATTCAGGTGACAGAAGCTTCCCACAAAGGCTGAAAGAGTAGTAGATCAAGTCATGCATAAATCATACAATGAAAACCTAACATTAAAGAAGTTACATTTTTGTTCTGATGCTGCCTTTTATACTACATCAACTAATTAGCATTTGTCGTGGTTCTGCTCGAGTGGGCAGCCGAGCTCCACCACAGCCGCTCTCTCACTCCCCTCCTCAAAGAGGAATGGGGAGAAAATATGTGAAAGGGGCTCAAGGATTGAGATAAGGACGAGAAAATCACGCAATAATTAGTGTAACGGGCAAACCAGACTCAGCATAAGAAGACAGTAAGATTTATTACTCATTACTAACAAGCTAGAGAAGTGAGAAACAAAGGAAAGAAACCAAAAAGCACCTCCCCCCCCATCCACCCTCTTCCACCTCCTCCCCCGAGCGGCGCAGGGGAACGGGGGAATGCGGGTTATGGTCAGTCTACAGCACTTCTTCTCTGCCGCTCCTTCTCGGTCACTCTCGTCCCCTGTGCTGTGGGGTCCCACCCACGGGATGCAGTCCTTGACGAACTGATCCGGCGTGGGCTTCCCACAGGCAGCAGCTCTTCCAGAACTGCTCCAGATATGGGTCCGTACCACGGGGTCCATCCCTCAGGAGAAAACTGCTCCAACCTGGCTCCCCTACGGGCAGCAGCTCCTGCCAGATCACCTGCTCCTGCGTGGTCTCCTCTCCACGGGCTACAGGTCCGGCCCGGAATCTGCTCCGGCAGGGGTCTTCCACAGGCGGCAGCCTCCATCGGTGCAGGGCCACCTGCTCCACCGTGGTCTCCTCCACGGGCTGCAGCGTGAAACCCTGCTCCACCGTGGTACTCCATGGGCTGCAGGGGGACATCCTGCTTCACCATGGTCCTCACCACAGGCCACAGGGGACTTCTGCTCCAGCGCCTGGAGCACCTCTCCCCCTCCTTCTACACTGACCTTGGCACCTGCAAGGCTGTTTCTCACTCCCTTGACTCCCGGCTGCTGTGTGGCGCAGCAGTTTTTTCCCTGTCTTAAATATGCTCTCACAGAGGCGCAAAACAACATCGCTTATTGGCTCAGATCTGGAAAACAATGGGGCCCTTCCCAAACATGGGGCGGCTTCTAGATCTTTCTCACAGAAACCACCCCTATGGCCCCCTGCTACCAAAGCCTTGCCACGTAAACCCACTACAGCATTAAGTTATAATTTGCAGTAATTCTGGCAAATAACTGACTCTCAACAGATAGCACTGCAGTGGGCGCCAACTGAAAGATACATTGAAGTCTGCAGAGACATGGTTTCCAGTGTTGAAAGGTTGGGAGAAGAAGTTGCCAGACTGAAGGACCTCGTGGAGAAGGTGAGCGTGAGGCCGTTCCATTGCACACAGAAACCTGGCTGCAGTATCTTGAACGTGACAGCCATCAGTGAAATGTTTTGTACCTTGGTCTATCTCAGCCTCTTCAGTTTGATCACTGCATCCACCACTCGTACGCTTCTTTCCACCTCTCCATAACAGAACGTGACATAATCTAGGATGTTACAGAACAGTGTGCGGAGTCTCCAAATGAAGGAGTGGTCAGTCTTATTCTTTCTGCCACAGTAAGGAACTGAGTGGGAAGTACTCCTGTGCATGTGGACAGCCACTGTGGCATAAACCACTCTGAGTACTTCTTAATTAAGGAATCTTTTGTTTGGAGTTATTGACTCCCAAGGAAGATAGTGCAGTTTTATGGATTGAATAGGAGGCATCCCAGATAACTTTGCAGAGTGACAAAAGAAGAGGGTGGGAGAGGTCAAGGCTAGATGTTAGCACCACATCAGTCCTTCTCAGACCAACACAATGATACGCTCTTGTCAAGTGGGGTCACGTTAAGTAACAGGCCAGTAAAATGAATGGCTGCTCTGGTAGAGTAAATGGAGCATCAGTGTCAGAAAGGAATCTGTTACTGAATGAAGCCATGTGGAACTCGGACCTTAAGTATAATGCTACTAATGCAATTTCCGGGAGTTCAAGTAAATTTAATGTAATATAACAGCTTTCTCCTAATAAATCACTTAGCACCAAATACATTTAAGAGGTCCTAACAAAGAACTTTTTAGCTCTTTATGTTCCTTTGTTTGCATATGCAGAAGTCAACTGCGTGTATAGATCTGCCTCCTGCGTGTGCAGGCCAGTTGCGAGGGGTCGGGAGGACCTGAGTTAGGTGCTACTTGCACTTGCTGTCATCTGAATTTGAGGTTTTATAGCTGCGAAGATGCAGCAGGGTGTCTCTACACCCACTGTTAAACAGGCATTAAACGTTAGCCGTCCGGTTATTTTGAAAAATGTAGTAATTCCTGTTCTACTAAAATACCGTAGTGTGTTATGAACGTGACTGAGGAAGACTAATAGGAAGCATTCTAATATTAAATTTTCAGCTTTCTAGAGCACTGAAACATTTTATTATGAAAAGTGTCAATGTAAATGAACCAGAGAAACCCTTTAGACACTAAGTTAGTACAAATTCCCTTAAAATCTGCACAGTGGTATTTCCTAAGCTTCGGCATCACAAGATTTTGGCTTTCAGTATGCGTGAAGTATATGGCATTCAATTTTTGAAAGTCTAGTAGTAAATGAGGTAGCCTGCCAAGTGTTACATACAAAGGGAGGGAAGCAGGAATTAACCAGTGTTTCACTTCATGACAAGGCTGCACTCAACTTCAGTGGGCATTAGAGCAGGCACTTGTATGGTACTTTCCACTCTCCCTTAGAGCTTTCAAAGACTCCTTGAAATTAATCAGATACGTGTTTAACTGTTGTTTTAATAAACAGTTTTTCTAGTTATTAAATAGCAGAAGTCCTGGTTAAAACATTTGATGATTGGAGTTTAAATGTTTTGGTGTTGATTTTTGTAGTGTCTACTAGTATGTTTTACTCCAGAAGAATTCAGTTTGTAAACAGTTTGTTTTCTAGTGTGTATTGCTTACAGAATCATTGCACATGAGATAAGATAAAGGCTTGCACACAGTGATTTCTGTTGAAGTAGGGCACGGACACACAAATAGTATCTCAGTCCTGAGAATCTAGGCTTATGCTTTATCACAGACTTCAGAAGCTTTCACATTAACTCTTTTTCTTTGTTGTACCTTTTTCACACTAACTTTTTTTCTTTGTTGTACTTTCAACATGAACTGAACATCTGCTTCAGCATGAACAGAAGAATGACCCCAGTCAAGCGGTATTCCCAGAAAAAGCACCCACCTTGGAAAAAAGATTAGTAAAAATGGGAGCAATAACAGTGCTTGCGTTTGTTTTTTTCTTCTTTATAACTAAGTTAATGGCAAAGAAAGAGTGACTTTTTTTAGTGCTTTGAATACTTTTTGGAAAATTTGGTCGCATTATGCTTCTATTCAGCATATGTAACTGAGCTGAATTCATATGAAAATTACTGGTTTCTCATCATATCAGTAATATTTGCATCCAGTACACACTTCAGTCTAGAATCAAAAATAAAATCTCCTTATGTAAAAGCGTATTAAGGTTTTGTTTCTAGTATAGACAGTTTGTACAGAATCTCCTCGAAGTTGCTTTTTTGCCACAAGGTTGTAACTATTACTTACTGATTACTAGTTTTGTTTTCACTTGCTGTTCAGTTGCTGTCATAGCTGCTTCCTGCTGTTCACAAACGTAAACATAAGCAAATAATACTGTATTGTTTATGTTGCATGCTCGTATTTAAAATGATCACGATGGTGGGTTTTGCCTTTTTAATATTAAGTATCATGATTTCTATGTTGAGAAAGATCTTTTGCAGTACAGATTCATATGAAAAACTTTCTGCTAAGGTGTACCTGTTTTGTTGTTTTGTTTTGTAACAGCCACAGGACAGCAAAGACCTTTTTACATACTGTCTGGAAAGTATTTTCCAGCTGAACCGTGCTAATCAATTTATGCCTGAGATCTGTTTCCTCAGGCATAATTACTTCTATTAACAGTTTCATCCCAAAAAGGATTATAAGGATGCTAAAAGGATTGTAGGAATCCTTAGCTACAAGAATGCAGGCACTTAGAAGGAGTATCAGCATGTTTCTTCTTGATCTGATGAGCTTTCACTACAGCAGCTTTGTGGTGAGTGATTCTCTCTTAAGGTTTTCTCCATTTAAAGAGTTGTTTGTAGTTCTGCAGCAAAATATTAGTATCTGTTTTTCGTCTGATTACCATGCTAGCTATGTTGCAAAAAAAGGAATTGGTGTAAGTCATCCAAATCACAGTTACATCTTTGTGGACTTCAATAAAGACATGTAAAAGTGCTGAAGGTTTGTAAAGGGACATTCTTCTGCTAAATCAGCTGGAGAACCAGTAGTCGCAATGGGGTGTCATACTTCAGCACTCTTTTTGGAGGTGTGTGCAGTCTTAATCTTGGATGCTCCCTCCAGAGACTAGAAATGAGAAGATAAAAAAAAGACTGATTGCTACTCTGGGCTGTTACTGTTGCTGTCAGTTGTTTTCTGCTTTTTGTTTTAGAAAATTACCTCGAGTGTTAGTATGTTTGCTTGTTATTGCAGTTGTCTTACCTCCTTTCCTCCCAGCTTTCTCATTCAATGCAAGGACCATCCTACAGAGTGATGAAGCTAGAAGCAAATATAACTTTTTTTTCCATTCTGTTCCCAGCTTTGGATCAGAGAGGGTAAGTCATAATCCCCACCACCACCATCTACCAGCAGAAGTGTAGAAGTGCATAATCATATCAGCATCCTGACTTGAAGCAGCAAAGAAAAGGAAATACTTTAAAAAGTAGTTCTGTTTCTTTGTATTACCGTGTAATTAGTTCAGAACTAACAAAACACATCACAAAAGGAAAAATCCATGAAAATGGAAAATACAAAAATCTATGAAGTGCAGTTTTAACTGTCACACACAATGTTGTACGAATAGCACTCCTCTGATTACCGCTAAATGCAGTTCAAAAATACTCAGATGCAGTTGTCCAGTGATGAGGTAGCTGGCAAATATTAGTAGAAGCTTGATGCATAACAACATCTTTTTGTTGTGTTTTTGTTTTTTTTTTTCCATTTGGGGGGGGGCTGTTGTTGTTCGTACCTATTGTAAAATACCAACGAGGGGAAATAAAAGTATGATACTTGCTGATAAATGGCTTCTAGTTTGAGAAGTAGAATAGAATATCCTTGGCAGAAATGAGTCAAAGGTTTGAACATTGTACTAAACTAATTTTGTATAGGTAAAGTCGTCAGAAAGGTGATACCTTAAATTCCAAATGTCTTTATTTTACTACTACACTTCCATTTTACTATTTCATTCACTACATTTTACTTCATGTATTGAATTTCTTTACTACTTCATTTACTATATTTTACTATGTATTTCATTTTGCTACTACAATTACTACTATTCCACTACTATTGGTACACTGGGCAAGCTTTTTTATGTTTCTGTAGACCATGTTATGGATCTAATAAGAGAAACTGAATAAGCAGAGGACTGCTTTTTCCTAGTAATTTGTACAATAAAAGCAAAATGCATTTCTATTTTAAATAATAGTGTCTATTTCATTGTATAGTTGCTTAAATCGACCGCCTCCGTAATGAAGCGGGTAGTGCTTTTCTACAATAAGCTGCTACTTAGGCTGGCCTCCAAAATGCATTTGGGAGAAGCCCATCCTATTATTGTCTTATGAATCACTTATTTCAAGTGTTTATAAAACCACAATTGCAAGCACTTGATTGTGGGCAGCATACAGGCTAAATACAGATTTTCTGCCATCAGCATCCTTAGTGTGTTGGAGTGTTCATAAAGGCATAAACCACATGTGAGAAACAAGCATCTTAAACCTGATGTTGGACTCTAAACGTCTCATTTTATTGGTCAGTCATTAGTTGTGCTAAGTAAGTAGGATATGATAAAAGCCAAATAAACGAAGGCTATTTTAACCTACCACATCATTTAAAGAAAAAAAATAAAAAAATCTTTAGATTCAAAATTCAGGCTTAAACAGTGAACTTCAAGGTCCTGTGTTCACTTTCATGTTGTTTCAGCGCCTTTTTCAAATTCCTTGCTTGAGAAGGTATCACAATATGGTTGTGATAGGGCAGGAAGCCAAGAGATTACTGCAAGATCTGGCCCCTGAGCCACGCAGTCAAAAATTCAAACCCCCCAGCAGCACCTGGTGCGGGAGCCTTCAGATGAAAATCACCCTGCTGAGAGGCCTTCTTCTGTAAGTCACC